TCCCCCGTTCAGTGCAGCACTAGACGATATGTAAGAGAAAGCTTTGCCGAAAAAGTAAACTATAAGAGTATTTAATATTGAATTAATGGATATCTCCTTTATTTGTATTGAAATTAAATAGACTACCGTGTTAGCTGTAACCGTAATTCCATTCCCTTGTTGGTTTCCAGAAATTTCGAGAAGCAAAGAAATTATAAGGTATTTCTCCCGCCTTCTTGGTATGCCTTCGTGCTGTGGTGGTCTGCACGGTGGGCACGAATTCCAGCGGTCCGTGGTTCTATTCCCGGCGAAGGCGTTGCTCATTTTTCATGTCTGCCTGCTTCAAAATAATACCAAATATCTCTACAAAATTACTAGAACTCTCTCTTGACCTGCTGAAAGCTTTAAAAAGCCGGAGAGAAACATCTCAGCTCAGTTGCTTAGTTACTGCAGTTGTTTAATTAGCTGCTGCTGTTATTGTTTAGATTAGTCGGATTAGCTTTCTCTGCGCTTTGGATTGTGTTCCACTTAACGTTTTATAGTAGTTGAAAATGTAGCTCCTGATTATATTGCGTGATATTGTACGAATATACTCGAGGAAAAATTCAGGGTTCTGTTATATTTCTTTGGGATAAGAATAAATTTTTATTAACTTTCTAACGGACTTGTGCATTTGATCTATTACGAACCCGTACGCACGCAACAATGTTGTCGTAATAAATATTCCTTTAGTTTTAAATATTTGACATGATAATAATGATAAAATAAGGAACAGAAATAGTAGCATTAAAAGTAACTCTAACTTTTAAAAAACTTTCTAAACGATAAATTCTAAGTTTTCTGAATTCTAAGCTCTAAAATTAAGGAAAAGGCTGCATTTACCTTTCTTCCTTCTAAAATTTCGCACCCGGTTGTGCTTGACCTTACATAATTTCGGAAATCTGTTCAAGAAGTCTACATCTCAAAAAGAAAAAAAACCTTTTAATTTCATAATAATTCAACGTTAATATATACAGAAACTCTGAATCGAAAATACAGCCCACATCTAACATCTCTTCTGTTAAGAAAACTGTCTATTCGTGTTGCCAAAAGTTAATAACAAAAAACAAAAAATAAATAAATAAATAAATAAAATAAAGTCATTTCATCGCGCGCCATCTAGTGAAAACGCCATCTAGTGTGTGTTTATTAATTTATTTTATGGTTTTTCTTTATAGCCGTTTTCGACACTAACTGTATTCTGAAATCTGAATGTCTGAAGTGCCAACACCTCGGGTTATGTAATGGCTACCGTAGCCAGTTTTCCAAATTTTGGGATCCGGTTTGGATCCTTCGTAAAGCATGCATGTATGTGACTGTAATGTAACTGAAGTATGTAGTGTAACTTAATATGTACTGTAACTCAGAGGCCATGGGGTCCTTAAAACCTCTCTAGGCAAAATTAATTTTGAGAGACTGTTGGTAGAGCAAGAAGCATACAAGTATCCCCTTAATCCATCCTCTGGAGCTTTCGGTCAAATTTGCCTTGGTGCTTAAGCAGATACAGAGCCTATCTTTGCCTAAATTAAGCAATTCAGTCCGCTCAACAACAGAAAGTACTTCCGAAGAACATAATTAGAAATGCTTTTTCTTTAAAATAAAATTCCTTAAAAACGCTTTTATGTAGCATAATGGTCCATATTTTTCTGAAATGATTGGTCTAAACTGGCATTATATTGATTGCTCACTGAACTAACGCCAACTTCCAGCACATGCCAGTGAATATCTATTAATGAGTTAAAAAAAAATATCTAGCTTACAAGATCTGCATGTTGATATTTGTATTGGATACCTTTTACACCAATATCCTGTTAAAAATGCAGAATACCCAAATATATTAGAGCTATGCATAAGTTGAGAAACTAAAGATAAAAATTGCTCACAAATTTTTGCGTCTGTATATCGCATATCGTGATACTTTGCAAGTAGAAAGCTCGAAAAATTACAAAAAAGAAAGAGAGGTCGTTCTAAAACAAGTACTTTGTGTTACATACACGAAGGCATTGTTTCATAATTTAATAGCACGTTTCTCATGAAAATCAATGACATGTATTTGTTAGACATGTATAAACCATGTCTATGAATGTCTAACCTATATGAATCTATTTATTACCTTGTAGAGTCATTAGGTTATTTTAAAGCACGTGAAAAATGAGCAATGCCCTCGCCGGGACTCGAACCCTGGACCTCTCGAATACGCGCCGAGTGTGCTAACCGTTGCACCACGAAGGCATACAGAAGGGAAGGAGAAAATACCTTATACACTCCCCCTTTTAAAGGGCGACTGGGGTTTACGGGACGCGTAATGGCAAACCGCACATTGAGTTCATCAACGTTAACGAAATTCCCATCCTGCGCATGCTCATTGGTTTACCGTTGGCGTGGGAGGAAATACTGGCGACTGTTGGGGGGGGGGCATAAGCAACCCTACACAAGTCTGCGCGTGATGTAGGCCTTATCGACTGTTTACAATTGCAATACTACCGAAATTTGTTTGTGCTTAATGCATTTGCTTCTGTTTCATTTCATTTTGTTCATAAACGTTATGTTTAATATCAGTTATTTATAATTTCCTTGACTTTAATTCAGTAATTTAAACTGTATTTATTCTTTAATTTGTTATATACGAATGGACCGTACGGTAAATACGCAATTGCTTTTATTCCTCAAAAGTAAATATCTTATATATCTATCTTTTATTCCTCAAAAGTATAAATCTATAATCAATAAAGATTCAGCTAATATATCTTGTAATGTTCCCTGTTTTGTAATCATTCTTAAATGAAAATTTGCGTAATTTACAATCGATATTTACACTCTAAGTAATGGAGCAACTTACAACATAATAAGTTTCAAAATCTCTAACTGTTTATGGCCAGATAACAGAATATCAAGCACACACCCTATTTACTTCTTTTAAAATTGTACCGTGATGTAGTAATTGCGCCCAATTTTCTTCTGGGAAATTCATTTAACATTGATCAACTGAATGTGCAGTTTGCCATAACGCTTACGGGGACACAGTCGCCAAATTCTGGTGGTGAGGAATCATCATCCACCTCCTTTTAGTTCGGGCGCCATTGTAGAGTCATTTAGAATTTGTTCGATGCCAGGAATCTGAAGAAATCTGCAACGCCCTCGCCGGGACTCGAACCTGGAACTCTCGAATACGCGCCGAGTGTGGTAACAGTTACACCACGAAGGCATGCTGGAAAGAGGGAGAAAATTCCTCATAATCTTAAGCCCCTCTGGTAATCTGTAACGCTTTACGTGCAAATAATTTATGTTCTTGCATGTTAAAATGAAACAAGCCTAACAGCCAGGGAGTAGTAATAAAATTGAAGACATAGCTAAGGACTTGCGTACTAAATTTTATCGCCACTTGTCGTTTATAAATTGTCAAACGTAACTAAAGTGTTGAAAACTGAAGCTAGCTGTTATCGGTGATTATGATGGTTTTATAGCATTTCGAAGCTTGTCCAAATAGAGACCCTTAATTCATAAACTTCCTAATTTTCAATAAATGTCATACTTAGTACAGGATAAGAAATGTCCACTGACTCAATTAGCATGACGGTAATACAGTTATTTTTTATGAAGTGAAATATGGCACAAATGAGCCGCAACACATTAGCAACAGGTCATAAAGATTCATTCTACAGTTACATGAAGATGACGATATCAACCTTTTTTTTCAAAACTCTAGTTCCTCTTTTAGTCATTTATGATGTATTGGATAACGAGACCCTGAAGTCGGCTATGTTCGTGAAAACTAAAAAAAACCTGCAGAAGTAAATAAATCAGTGTTTGGGTGTGCAGACGTGTATCTTAGATGGGCAGATCCTGATTAAATATAAGGAATATATTATTTAGAATGAAAGTAGAGCCATCCTATTTTACATGAGGTACATTTGCACCGAAATATGGGCATTTGAAATTTAAAGTTTGTTTCATTATTGGTTTAATATTTTGTAAAACTTAACCAAATTCTTTATTAAGAAACTCAAGGATTTCAAAGCGAGCCGTGACAACGTTGTACAGAAAAAACATTTATCTCCAGCGCGTGAGACTGTATCAGAAATTCTAAAGATTGGCTCAATTTAAAATTATTTTGCGACATTGCTGCTGAACTGAATTTTATGGTTTAAGTGCGAAGAACATGATATTTAATAAATAAAGGTAACACACAAAATGTTAAAAAAGCCACCCCTTTGGACGTTTAGTACTCAGTATGTTGCATTCAACGAAAGAAAAGTTCGATTTGAGATCAAGTTGTAATGCGATGAGAAAAAGTAAATTTTGGAAAATTAAATTAAAAATAAATATTTAAATGATCCCCGAAACTACGTATTTTATAGTCTGAAGTTTCGAAAACAATCTGGTGAGAGTAAACAACACAACTTAGAGTCTGGATAAAAGTACGGTCTTGGGTTTGAAATTGGATTTCATTGTTGAAATAAAACCGAAAGGGATATTTGATACTGACTGAATTAATGACAATACCGATTGTTTCTACAGTTAAGATTCTTCATCTTACTGGACAGATGCTTCTCGGAGATCGTAGGCGGGCTTTCAAAATCCCCTTCAAAACGATGACCCTGATAAACCTCGGAAATGACTGACCCCGCGATCCTTGAACATTTGATCTGGAACACCTGTACAAAAGAAAAAAAAAAAAAAAAGGAAATCCACCACCTTGGCACATATCGCTGCATTTAAAGCCCATAACCCTCCCGCTCATTTTAATTGCCCTTCGCGATATCAACCAATTATTATCCGTAACAGCTCTACCATACGCGCCAAGTAGACGAATCCTTGCCAAGAGTTGTTGCAACTAAATGGTAACCCCATCACCTATTTCTAATTGCAGCGAGTATGGGCGGGGGAAGGGAAAGGTCGGGGCCAACGCCAAACCGGCAGCGATGACGCCAACCGGGTCAAATCCTTTTCACGTGCAATCTTAAAAAAAAAAAAAAAAAAAAAGTGTTTTCTTTGCGTGATTAGACATATATCTATAGAGGGCGGCACTGTTTGGGAGGTCGTATTCTAATTCCCTATATCTGGCTAACCGTGATCAAAATTTTCTTCAGATATATCCGAGAGTTACTATCTATCGACAACGACATGAAGCAAGTAAGTTTTGTCTCAGTATTCAAATGTTAAGACATTTCACCAATGCTCTTTGCAAACTACTTGTCAATTTGTCATTTAACAAGTCCTCTAAATATTCATTTTTCATATCTTACATTGGACTGTAAATGTGCCATTAATAGATCATTTTTCTAATAATAGCATATTCACTTTTATTTTAATAATTATCTCGTCTTTTATTAGTATAGCCATAAACTAATTGTCTAAATTTTTAATTTCGATTAAGATGAAATTTATGCCAAAAGTAAACGATGACAAAATTTAAAACGACTTTTAAAATAATCATTTCAAATCAATCATTTCAACGATCATTTTCATTCGATTCATTTTCAACGATCATTTCAAATCAATATACTGAGTAATTATCTTTATATAATAAAATTTTATTTTGAAATATTCGGAAATTTCTTAATATTGTACCATAATTTAATATTTAATAATTATTGAATAAATAAAAATTAAGATTAAAAAGTATTTGTTACTACTGTTAACAAAAATTAATTTTCTGTTAAGCTTTCTGATACACTAATTTAATAATTATTGAATAAATAAAAATTAAGATTAAAAATATTTGTTACTACTGTTAGGAAAAATTTATTTTCTGTTAGGAGACTAAATTTTTCCTAACGTAGGAGTTTAATTTTATCCTAACAGTTAAAAGTTTATACTGTTAGGAAACTGTGTAACAGTATAAATTTTAAAAACATTCTGTAAAATTTATTCTACTGTTAGGGAACATTTATTTAAGTAAATTTATTATTTACTGTTAGGAAAAATTTATTATTTAAAATTATTCATTATAATTTTTTCCTGTATATCATTTTTCCTAACAGTAGTAACAATTATACTTTTAATCTTAATTTTTATTTTTTAATTGTTTAATTAATTTAATTAAGTAATTATTAAATAACAAGTTGTAAAATTATGTTGAAGGTATTTTTAGATATTCGAGTATTTTTATTAATAATATGAACATAAAAGTATTGTACTTTTGGAGCAAGCAGTTTATACTAACCATTTTTTGTTAACTCTTCCTGAATATTGTATAAACACATACTATAGGTTATTAATTTGAAAATCGACATCTTTCAATGCATTATTAAATTTATAATGATAATTAAATACCCATTACCTTAGGAAATACATATACTTTTTATAAAATAAAAGAAAATTTAAGGAAAAAGAAAAAGTTGAAAATATTTAATTATTAAAATATTAAATAGTGTATAAAATTTAAAAAGAAGTATTTATTTAAAAACTGAAGAAATATTTTCTAGCTAGATGTTATTCAAGTGAAATATAAGCTTAAATGTTTATCGAAATTGTTTCTATGAAAAGACTCGAATGCATCGAATACTGAAGGAGTGCTATGATTTTACTTCAACTTGTCAAAATGTGGAGACTAGTTTTTATATGCTTGGATGTTTCTTGTAATTTTTTCAATTTTAATTAAATGACGATATTTATAATGTATATGCAGGTATTAGTTGCTCAATTTTATGTTTATCGGGGAATACGAAATTAATTATCAGCATTTAAAAAATCAGAAACTTTTATAGAGTGTCAAGGGTCACTCCTTTCTCGAAAGTCTAAATCAAAGAGTTCATAAAAAAAAGTCTTAGTTCCTTTTAATTACTAACGGAAATCTAAGATCTGAATATATTTTTAAATAAAATGTCTTCCCCATTTCAAGCATTGTTTACTTTAATTTTGATACTAGTAAAAAGAAATGTAAAACTTAATCACTAGATGCAAAATGCTTCTAGATTCGAAAAACACATAATCTAAATTTTTTGACCTAGCTTAACTGAAAAACTAATATTGCAATTCTTTTCAACGAAGCAGTAAAATGCTATCTCAATTTTTTTTTTTTTAAAAAAAGTAATAATATCTGTTACCTTAGGAAATACGTATAGTTTTTATAAAATACACTGAAGTTTTCAGATGTAGAATCATCAGAATACACTGAAAGCTTTCAGATAGGGGCCAATTTTTTAACGTTTTGTGTGTTACATTTATTTATTAAATATAACGTTCTTCCCACTTAAACCATAAAATTCGGTTCAACAGCAATATCTTTCGAATTTACCATACACAGTCTCGAGCGCTGGAGGTAAAAATGTTTATTTTTTCGTACAGTGTTCCCATTATCCGCTTTGAAACTGTTGCGTTTCTTAACCAAAAACTCAATGCTTAACAAAATATGAAATAGATAATTCCAAATTTGGGCTTCCAGATGCCTATATTTAGGTGGAGACGTACGTTATTCAAAATTCGACAACTCTAGGTGCCATTGTTTTATCACAGTGCGAGAAACATACATACATTTATGAAGATTCTTCATTATTTAATTTCTTTAAATATAATAGAGGTCTCTAATATTGGGTGGCAACAATTTAAAAAGTGATTCGCCGTCTACGGTGTTGGTGTATTTAATTACGGCAAAGCACACGAGGGCTATCTGCCTAAGAGGAGGGATGCCTTCGTGGAGGACTTTCTAAGGGAAACTGGCTCGTATACACGTTACACATGGGGAAAACCACGAAAACACCCATGCAGCCAGCCGGTTCTCGGGATTCGAACCTCGGACCGAACTACCAGTGTTCAGCGACTTTACCGCTCGGCCGCTGGTGGGCGCCCGTTTACAGTGAATCAACGCAAATTACCAAAACGAAATTACTAGCCCTTCTGAGCAAATTTCCCCTTTGGACTTAAAAAGGGTAATGGTTGAGTAAAATTCACAGAATTTTTTTAAAATTTTATTTTTAAGAAAGTAACCTAAACACCCCCTCTGAACTTGGATCCTATGCGAAATACTTAAAAATATTTTAAAGCGAAACGCTTTAATAAATAAGTCTGCAACTTTTACCCATTTATTTTACAGCACGATTCAAATTTTAAAGAAATTCCCGTAATTACATAGTGTGAAGTAGTACATAGTACATAATTGCGTACCACTGAAACAAGAAATAATTTTCTTCCAAATTTCCCCTAAAATGATTCTTTTCTTCTTACTTTATTGAACATTATTGTTTTAAAACTGCAAAGTTCGAGTGATGTTAGTTCTTAAATGTCAGTTCAAGGGTTCTCGAAAAGAGAAGAATTATCCCTAAGGGAAAATTTCACAGTTTCAGGGGAAAGAATGAGACGAGCCCTTATTTGCTATTAGATTTTTAGTTTATGACTATAAAAACTACTTTTATTCAAGCTTTGGTAAACATCAATCTTTTCTATATCTTTCTTGTTTAATTTATAAAATGCATGAAAAAATAATCTAAATTTGAATGTATGTATATTTTTCCAGTTTGGAAAAGGAGGGGGAGGGGAATGACTGCCTAGCAACAGTGAAAGAGGTACATGGCGCAGAAAAGAGTTGGAAAGCTTTTGTGCTAGTTGTATGAATCTGCTGCAAATAACTCACTGTTATTCAATAGCTGAAACATCTTGCGACTTTGACTGAAACATTTCACTAAAATAAATGAATAAAAATAATGAATTATTAAAAAATCAAAACAACAGATTACTTTGTTAGCCCAGCAGGACTATTAATTCCGTTTTGGCGTTTTGCGTTGGAAATTTTAAAAGGCTGTATCACTTTTCAAATTGTTGCCACCAAATTTTATCGCCCTTTGTTATATTTAAAGAAATTAAACAATAAGAATCTGCATAAATTTATGTATGTTTCTCGCACTGTGAAAGACCAACTGTACTTAAAGCCATCAACGTTTGAATAATGTAATGCTCAACCCGAACATGGGCATCTGGAAGTCCGAATTTGGAATTTATTTTGTTATCGATTTCATATTTTGTAACACTTTAACGAATTTTTGATTAAGAAACTCAACGATTTCAAAGCGAGCAATGACAACTCTGTGCGAAAAAGAAAACCCTTTTTATCTCCAGCGCGCGACACTGTGTATAGGAAATTCTAAAGATAGACTGTTTTTAAAATTAATTTGTGATATTGCTGTTGAATTGAATTTTATGGTTTAAGTGCGAAGAACATGATATGTAATAACTAAAGGCAACACCTAAAACGTTAAAAAAAAGGCCCCTTTGGGCGTAACGTAAAATCTGAAAGCTTTCGGATTTTTTTAAAAAATTTATTTTGTGCATTTTAAGTACTATTTTCAGAAAATTCGCTGAATACTTTTATTCCTTTCTCTTTCCCCCCATCCACAAAAATCAAGAGGGGAAAAAAACCTATTCTAGATTCTTTTTATATGCACATATACGCCCAGATTTTCTATGTGCGTCTATAGCATGACACAGAAATCTGTATACATTTAGGGAAAAAAAAAGTACTTCAGAGGGTTTGCGATATTTATTAACGAAATTGGGCAGAAATTTTATAAAAGTTTTTTTTTTTTTAAAGAAATTTGACCATCAGATATTTTATTTACAATTTGTCCTCCCCTCCATATAGCGCGTTGTCCATAAAATTATATTTATAAAATTCTAAACTCGGCAAACATCATTGCCGATTAATTATGTACGGAAATGAACTAAAATGTTTCTAGAGCAGAAACAGCATTTCATTAGGAATATTTGATGCATGCCGCCAAATACCATTTCTTTCATTTGCATTTCATTTTCATTGTTAACCGACAGTTCTGTTAACAAAACCACATAGGTTCAATCTAACTAATCATATATGCTAAACGTAAGAGCATAGCATATCACTCGATTTCTCCTGAAAGTTCAGTGTAAGACGTAATTTTCAAGCGACGTAACGTGGAATAACGCTCCATTGGTCACATCTGGTAAATATACTTGTTAAAAAATCACGATAACCCATATTAATCCATTACTCAAATTTAATCAATCTTCACGTTTATAAGAATTTCTTTCTTAATTGAATTATCATGCGTTGTAGACTATAACACCGACTAGAAGTTTGTTAAATGTTTATAGACTTTTGGATCTTTCTTCGGATATAATGTCCAGCTTAGATTAATTCACTTCAGAAATTTTTTTCCAGGATCATTACGATTGGTGAAGACTATGCATTTGAAAAATAATATTTTGATTATATTATTGGGCTTGGTAACGACCTTAAAAATTAATACATAGTGTATTTTTTAAAGTAGAATTCTTTTTAAGTTTAGCATGTTGAGCTTTTACTTATTTTGTTGTTGAACTTGAGGTTTCATTGTTGGTATTATTATTATATAGGATGTAGGAGTAAACGAGAGTAGAATGGCACTAAAATCGCAGACAATTTTTGTACTTTAAAACTGATCACACTAATCTTCGTTCCGAGGGGAAATCCGTAAATATATCTATATATTTATATAAAGAAAGAACGTCTGTTTGTGTGTTTGTTCGCGATTAACTAAGTCACTACTATAGCTATGGTCACTAAACTCACTACAACTCTTTTCTGAGTCCTGGAAAAAGTCGACGTTCACTCTCCCCCCCCAAAAAAAAAAAGAAAAAGCATAGCTAAAATCAGGCATATTAATTAAAAACGCTGAAAACCCTCATTTTCACCCTCATTTTTCCGACTGACAACAGTCTTGCAGGCTGGAGATAAAAATCTGCTTTACTTCGAGAAGTGTTGCCACTTTGGCTTTCAAATCCTAGAGTTTGTTATTAAAAAATTTCGAAGTTTTAAGAGGAAACAAAAATAGCATTGCCAAACATTAAATATACTATTCCCGATTTTCCAAAACTTCGCGGAAAGCCATTTCGATTATTCCCATCTTCGCACGATTTTAATTAGCCAAGATATTAATTAAAAACTACGAAAACACTAATTTTTTCACTCATTTCTCCGAATGGCGCGTTGGAGCTAAAAATGCTTTATTTCGAAACGTGTTGCTTTCAAATTGTAAAGTTTGTTAATAAAAAATTTGTAATTTTTTACATAATCTTTATATATAAGAAGATGTCTGTGCGTTTGTTCGCGTTATTGATTTCCGATCAATTATGATGAATTTTTTGCCACATTTATTGGATTAAAATTGAATATAGGTGAAATATTGGACGGAACCTAATATTTTATGACCATTTGATTAGAAAGACGAAAATCATTAAAAACTGCATGCCATTGTTGTTGATATAAAGACAGAGAATTAGTTTATTTTTCTATCGAAATTTTTTATGTGGGTTTCATACCGCATGAGACTGAAAAATGTATGACTATGAATCGTATTTCTTGCATCCTTATTAGAGAAGGATTACAGCGGTTTCGTTCTGTCTGTTGTTAGACGCATTAATCTCAATCTAACTTAACTGGCATCGGGTACTTCCGCTAGATTTTAATGAATTAAAAATCCTTTATAAATGAAACATCTTTAACAAATTTTATAACTTGTGAGAAAATGTGCTGAGCAAATTTTGATCCAGATTATTGCAAAGAAATTTCCTCAGATTCATTGATCTCTCTAGCCTGAAATCGCTTCTCAGATGACACACCAGTTTCATTTTTGATACTTATCACGAGAATGGCATTATTCCGTGCTCCGAATAATTAAAAGGGCACGAGCAGCTTTATTTATTTATTTTTTTTTCCTCCAACGAAGCTGTCAGAAAATGAAACTTTTAAATCTAAATCAACTGACTAATGAGAGCACATATCGGTAACGAAAGAAAGAACGAAAAGTGGTCAGGTCGGATTAAACGAATGAAATGTGGTTTATACAAGTTTAGTAGCATTTTTTATCAACCGAGACAAAAAATGAAAACATCCCCCCTTTCCAGTCAGTTAGTAGAGTGTTATATATCGTATTTCAATTTTGAAAAGCAAAACGTTTTTCGCTGGTACTGACTGTATTTTTCTTTTCTCAACAGCTGTTAATCCTTACCGTGCTCGTCAGCGTTACGACGTTGGGATTCTCCGCCCTCGTCGGTGACAGTCGTTACGGTGCACCCCATTCGGGAAACGCCCTAGGTCACAGGGGCGGAAACGGATACTCAGCTGGCGGACACTCTTCGAGGGGACCTGCAGCATACGGTCAGAGGTCTCGCGGGTACGGAGCCCCCAGCTCCTACGGTGGTGGAAGGCAATACGGATCTGCTCCTGCAGCTCCTAGTCACTACTCCGCTCCTGCACAACACTACGGCGCTCCAGCTAACGCCGGTTACGGAGCAGCAGGTGGTGCTGGTTACGGCGCATCTTCCGGATCTAGTTACGGAGCACCAGCACATGGTAATGGATTTAAACTTAAGTTTGAATGCAAATAATCATAAAATTCACAACTAAATAACAATACATACACTTTATTCAAGGGGTATCAGAAACTTCTATATCGACAATGTTAAATTGGCCATTTTCGATGTACCTTTTCTCAAAATCTGCTGTAGATTGAAGCTTGAAATTTTTTGTGTAATTAAAGTATACCTTAATTACACTATACATTTCTGCTTACGATGAGCTTTTGAAACATTTTGATTTTAGAGTAATTTCAGAATATTTGCTAGGCATAGAAATTTGCACTTTTCTCACAGAAAAAAATTAAAAAAACTTTGTTGGTCTTATTTTCACAAACGCATTTTATAAATAGGAACCTAATAAGCCATAAAAATTTAGATACCTGTAAGCAGTAGTCCTAAAAGGACATCGAGAACCTAAATCACATTGGAAAACCCTTTTATGTAAAAATCCGCATGCATCAAAGCATTCAATGACTTTTACAGTTCTAATTTTACATAAAAAAGAATGGTATTTTAGAAAGATAAAAGTTAGAGAATTTGAAAATGAAAAAGCCGAAATCATCTTTTTTTTTTTTTTTGTTTTTTTTTTTTTTTTTTTAGATTTTTGGGTTTCCAAACACCCGTCAAGTATATAGTAAAATATTTTTACTATTTAATTTGGCTATATTAACTCGAGATTTCTAAAAAAATTGGCTATATTTAACTTCACGGAAATGTTACATTCAAAATGAATTCTTTGCTCTACTTAATTTGGCTATAATATCTCCAGATTTCTATAAAGAACTTAACAGAACTACTTCATCTTAATTCATCTCTTTAGCCTCACTAATTTAATTAAAGCTCGACTACAACTTTGGCCTTAACTAAAGTTGGCAGTTTGGCATCCTCATTCTTGAGTAAAAGACGAAACACCTTCGTATTTATTAATTATTGTAATTGAACGGGGGTGGTTTGTTCTCCTTGAAAGGTCAATCAGTTTCCAATCAATGACGATAATTACTTGGTTAATTACTTTTTGTATTTACATCTTTCATGGTTTAAATTCAAGTTCCTTTAAAAATATTATTTTCAGGATTAAATTTCATACTTCTGATTACTTCATTTAGATACATTCTACTAAATTTATATTAGGCGATAATATAGTCAATCTTACTTTAGTAAATAAATTATTATTATCTTACTTTCCAGCTATTGCACAAGTATTAAGAAATTAATTTCGATTTCAACGAATTTCAGTTCATTAAATCAATATATATATATATGTGTGTGTGTGAGTGTGTATGTATGTATGTATGTTAATGATTTGAATACAATTGTTTGAATCAAAATCATTTTTGGGGGAAGAGACAAGCAATTGTTATTTTCACATGTTGTTGTTGTTGTGCATATTACATGAAACAATGGTTGCCAAAGCCTACTCCAAAAAGAGGTTGGACTTTTATTTTCCGGCCCCAATTTTGAGGAAGAGCACCTCGGGGGGGGATATCTGGGGGCTCCCACCCCCTCTTCTCATCCACCGATCCACACGAGAGGACTTTTGGCTTGCCGCATATTTAGAGTGCCGCCATGCCGCACCGACACTATACATTTACAAACCTCCATGCCTTCTTCGGGATTCGAGCCCGGGCTCTTCGACACGGCAGTCAGCGATGCTAACCACTATACCAGTTGGGCGGCACCTGTTTATTAATTTATGATTGCAGCAAAATAATAATAAAAATATATTGAATAAAAAGATTATTGCAAATGTATTAGAAAAGCTTTATTATTTAAAGCTTCCTACTAATTATGATTGCAGCAATATAAGGAAAAAAGCATTGAATAAAAATTTATTGCAGTAGTATTCAAAAATTTTTATTATTTCATGGTAAAGCTTTCTTACTGTATCTTATAAATTTCTCCAAGTTAATATCTTGGACAAGAAATAATACTGCAAGAAACAAAGTAAGGAAAGTAATTTTAAAAGAAATAGGTCCTAGATAAAAATGATTTCTATTCTATGAAAACATTTGAATTAGCATACAAAAAAAAAAAAAAAAAAAAAAAAAAAAAAAAAAATGCTTCGTAAATAAGGTGTGAAACGCAGAAAAATTGTTTACTAAAAGAGCAGTTTTAAGATAACTTTTAAACACATTTATAACTAAGAGTATTATTTCCAGATACTTTTTATATATATCCAGACATACTTAGAGTACCGTCATGCCATACTGACGCTATACATTTTTACAAACATCCATGCCTTACCCGGGTTTCGAACCGGGTAAGGAACCCTTCGGTATCGTAGTTAGGCTCCCACCGTCTGGACGACACTAGAGCACTTCTTAACTGTAAATGAAACGGTATGAAAGAATTTTAAAACTAAGACACTTCTTAAACAAAAATTTCATTGAAAACATTTTATTAACTTTTATAAGAATGGAAAGTATTATAAGGTATTTCTCCCGCCTTTAGCACACCTTCGTGGTGTATTTTAAGACGTATTGGAAAGGTCCGTCTTTCGAGCACCACAAGACATTGCTAATTTTTCATGTTCATTTCATTCTCCTGCTTCGAAATAACCTAATGTCACTAAAGAAGGCGGCGGATGATGATTCTCCAAAACCAGGATTTGGCAGGGGGGAGTATTTAACGTACTTATCGCGCCTTCGTGGTGTAGTGGTCAGCACGCTCGGCGCGTATTCGAGAGGTCCGTGGTTCGATACCCGAGAGCGCATACCTCAATTTTCACATCTCTTGCTTCGAAATAAACTAATGTCTCTACAGTATAAAACACCGATAGAATGTATATAAGTACTATTCTACAGTTAATCAACAGTTGAGATGTTAAAAAGAGAATGCTGGATTAAAATATTTAACTAGTATACCAAAACTGATGAAATTTCTAATGAATACATTCACAATAATGAAGTTACCAGAAGATATGTGTGATATCGTGTAATAAATTTTAAGGTTATGAAACGGGGAAATTTTTCGGCGAAATGTTTAAACACGCAACAAAAATTATCACTCACTTTTACTTTTGTCAAAATTTTTAGTAATCCTTTTGACTGCGTGTATAGTTTCGGTGCTAAATCTGTTAATGTACATTGCGGATAATAATAATAAAAAAAAAAAGGGGGGGTGAGAGAACAGTTCTGCATCTCCCATTCTACTGGGCGGATTGACGAAATTCAAATAGCGTTTTTCATATCTCGAAAGCTCGGCTTAGGATATTAAATTTATATATAACATTATTCTAACGTAGGTATTCTGGCACAAAGTCGCACCTTTTCTGAAATAACGTATGAATTATTTTCCATATTTCGATTCTACGATTCAAATTATGCCTATATATTAAATTTCGTAATTTTTGGTGACAAATTTAAAAATTTATCTTGGCATATTTTTTCCAGTTTGCGCCAAGACTAATTAATGCACTTGACGGTGTTCTTAATTTATAATAACATATTTACTTTCTCTTTTTTTTTTTTTTTTTTTTTTTTTTGATTGATGCACCAGAGGAAAAAAGGTCCATCGTTCATTCTTTCAAATCATTTTAACAAAGTGCGTAAACCTTCGTTATTATCGCTTATATTAAATACGCAAAATTTCAAAACGCGCTAAAATGTAAATTCATGAATATTTTAGGAAATTTTGAATTTTTATTCAAATTTATTATTTATTAGATTTTTTTAAATCTAATTTTTGGGCAAGTACGCCTTAGATATACATCTACTTTAAGATGGTGTTAAAATTTTTATAGGTTATATAGAACAAAATTTTGTCAAAAAATTTATAAAAATATTTAAAATACAAAATTTTAAAACGAATAATAAAAAATGGGTGAATTATTATTTGGCTTAAGCCTAAATTTCGAATTCTGGAAAAAGGACTCAACTAAATTTAATAAAAAGTAGATATTAATAAATATATATCAAATTCAATTAACAATGAGGAGCTAAAATTTAGAGAGCTAATTTTTACAAAACTACTCGCTCAGGTTTTACAAAACTTGGTAGTTGGGCATAATTTGAGGCGTAGAATCGAAATTTGAAAAAAAAAAAATGGCATGTCATTTCAGAAAATGTCCGATTTTGTGTCAAAATACTTATATTAGAATAATGCTATATATAAATCTAATACATACCCTAACTCGCGCTTTCGAGACATGAAAAACGCAAGTAGAATTTGTCGGGTCAGTAAAGCGGCAGATAAAGAACTGTCCCCCTTTTTTTCCCCGTAGTGTACTTTTGTTTACCTAACAGCATTAAATTTAATGCCATTTTCAACTTACTTAGTACGCAATAAAACGTTACAATTTGTCCCATCGGGATCTTAATCTTAAATTTGTTAAATGGCATCTGGAATCGTGATAAGAGATCAATAATTAATATTCGCAATAAACTTTTCCTTTAACCCTTTCCGGCAATGTACCTTTTAAAGTCAGAGTTTTGATTAAAAAAAAAAAAAAGGTTGGCAGTCTAATTAGGCCTAGAGTAAAAAGTAAAATTTTGTGAAGACAGCACTTATCGTTTTAATTCTGTGGGCACACTGATTGAATAGAGCTTCGAAGAGACCGTTGAAACGAGCATTATTGTCAAAGAACTGACCGATGAGATGCGGAGAAACAAAGAATCAGACTCTCAGTTGTCCTACATGATCGGTGAGCCCGGCCTGGGCACACCTAGGGTTAGCCGTTTGAGTTTAAACAAGATTTCAAAGTAAAAATTTAAAACTAACATAGAATAAGGAGATTAGCATACAGCCAAAAACATAATATAGAAATTTCTTTTTCAAACAATTTCTTTTATACCCTAAAAAAATCTGGAATATTTCTTTGAAAAAAAGGGGGCTTAAAAAAAGACTAAACATGGCTAAAATATATAGACTGGTTGAGCTACCATCTACTAAAAATAAAGAAGTTTCAGAGTAACCTATAGTAACCTATAAATCCTTTTCATTCAATTTTTCTGTGAGTACAGAAGGAATTTTTAGGTGTGTCCAGACCGGACACAC